ATGTGTTATTAATGAACTTTCAATCTTAAAATAAGCATTTTAGATAGTTGTTAATAATTTGTTAATAAGTATCTCGAAAACTGTAAATAATTTACTACGAAAAATATTATCTCATCCGGGATTCGAATCCGGATCTTCAATATTCCGTACGGACATCCTCCCAATTCGACCACCGAGGCATGTAATAATATTAATCGCAATAACCAGTGTACGTAAAATATTTAGTAATATTTAAATTTATAGTAGAATATTTAGTAATATTTAGTATTTTGCATATAACATTTATTGCCATATTTTATGCTTAATGTCGTTAATAATGTTATAATTTATACAAGATGTTAAAAATAACATTTCACATGTTACACACACACACACACACACACACACACACACACACACACACACATATATATATATATGTAATATTTAATTATCTTGATATTTGTTAATATTATAATTTATAAAATGTCAAGAATAAATAAATTGACGAACATTAATAATTTTCTAATGTTTCGAATAAAACGCGTTCTCGCATCCTATTTCGCAATTTAAGGGAGGATGTGAGTCGCACATTTATCACCAGTAGATTACCGTAGGTATCCATATATTTGGCGAATCTGAAATAAAAGGACGAAAAATTTTCCAGCATCCCGAATAAAATGTTAACTGTCCAAAACAAGAATAATCGTCGGTAATGAAAATCTCAAAGAGTAAAGAATGTTATTTACAGACTATTTCAAGTAATTCGAGGCGAGAAAGGCATGGAATCCACATAAGGGCACTATTTTACTGCCGACATTACCGTGTCCACATTTAGAGGAGCCGGAACGAAAGAATTAAACTTTCCTAACATTCCGAATAAAATGTTGTACGTCTATTCCAAGCGATTTGAAGGAAAAGAGAGAGGAAATCGCCATCGATATTTCTATATTTGTACAATCGTGGAAAACAAAGATTAAATTCCATAACCTTTCAAACAAAATACATTACTTGTCCACGAAAGTAATAATGACCTGGACAACGAGCAACTATTTCGAAGCAATTTGAAGCGAGGGTAGATGAATTTTCGTAAACTCACATGAGGGCGCCGATATTTATTGCCGATAATGCCCATATTTACACGGAAATTCAAATAAAAAGATTAAAACATTTTCCTACACGAGATTTGGAATGAAATGTCACCTACCTCTTTCGAACAGTTTTCAGGCGGAGGCAGAAAACGGGCGGCGTGAAAATGTCACAAGCGCACGTAAACCAGCGTAAACCACGCTATTTTATCGCCAATGTTATTACGTTCATATCGGGAAAATCTATAACGGAAGGGTTAAAAGTTTCTCACTGATACTCTAAATGAAATATCGCCTGCCTGGCGAAAGAATCAGCGGAAACAGAATTCCGGGGAAAATCTACTCATATATATATATATATATATATAAGGTAGGTTTCCACCTCGCGTAAAAGGGCGAAACTCGAATAAGGGTTGCTAGTTATATCCGAAACAAAGAAGTTAAAAATCTACGGACGCCAAGTGAAACGTCAGCTGTCAAGAGGGAAGAATCGAGCCGGAAAGGAAAATCTATCTAAGCGATGCTATTCGTAGAACAACACTCGCTATTTCGAGCGATTTGTGGAGGCGGATGCGGGCGGAATTGGCGTAAGGGCGCATAAACCGCGCTATTTATCGCCGACATTACTGCAGGCTCACATCGGTCTTCTCGCGTGATAGGTGGCTCGCTTTTACGAATCGCTCCTGAGAAGCTCAAGGCTCTTTGTTGGCCAAAACGAGCGCGCTTATGCATAATGGATCACTCGGTGGCAAGCTAGTACTTGCTTACTTGATACTTGCATCACAACAGGACGAGTGCAGCTGGTAACGGTAGCATATTGAGACCTTCGTGTTCAAATCGAAAGAAAATTCATTGCATGAAGTTCGTTGGAACAGTGGAACAAGTATTAAGAATATCTTTTAACTCTTAACCAAGCAATTAAATTAAAGGATATAAGATTTCAAAGGTCCAGGAAGCATCATTTTTTCAAATGTTTTGTTATACGTGTGTTTCGAACTTGGTAAGCATAAGTTTTATTGTTGTTTTCTATTATTGAAAACTATAAAATTGTATTGTATGTTAAATTATATAAATATTAACCTGTTTAATGAACTGTTTTATGTACAGTATAACATTAGTTTTTATACGTTTTTATACGAAGGTATAAATTTCCAATTCTAGTCACTTGTGCGGAAACCTGATACAGTTTTAAAGCAGAAAGAAACTGCAAGGAATTAATAAAAAAAATAGAAAATACGAGCATTATTTCCATTGTCTGGTTGTCGATAATTTTCTATCAATTTTCATTAATTTACTTTTGCTGTATGTCACTGCGATATCGAATATCCGAATGGAAGCATGCTAATTTAATATAAATCTCTTGAAAATTTTGAATTTGATTTATGGAACAAATATTGACATATTTTGAAAGCCAAATAATAACTTCTCTTATAATTAATAATAATGTCTCATAAATCTGCGATTGATAATTGTGTAAATAATGATTATTATTCCTATTACATTCGTCATCTCCGTTAATGCTTGCTAATAGAAAAATGCTATTTATTTATTTGACACACGACGTTGACAATATAGTAATAATATTAAATATTAAAGATAATAAATAATAAAATTTAACAAAAAAATAAATGTATAACAAAATTTTCCAAAGTTTAATTGAACAATCTGAATTAAAGTCTAAAATCTTTAATCGTAGATCGTCATTTCTCGACACGACTTGCGGCTGCGTTAAACAACAACTTAATTTAGCCGAAGTGGGGTCAAATATAGAGTGGCGTAGCGACCCACAAAGGAAAGACGGCGGGCGTGCATGGGAGGAATCAACAGGGAAACAGAGGATCGATGCTCAGAAATAACACGCACTCACGGGATTCGCCGCTTTAATTTCACCCCGGAGAGAAACGGATTCGTGTCTTGTACCGGTCAATCACGACATCGGTGTTTCTACTATTGCTTGTAATTTCTGCTGAATTGTATTGGTTACATTAGAAATATCGATCTTCTATTTTCAGATCGTTCCTGAAGAAATAAATTATCAAGATACATTTTACATTCTTTAGACTGAGAAAAAAATATTCTAAATAAATATTTATTCTTTAGTTTTCTTCGGTGTACAAGAAAAGAGTTAAGGGAATAAAAAATTCATAGAATGTAAATTTAAAGCGATCAATTAAAAGGAGCAAAATATTCTATAATTAATACATTCCCAAAATTGCGATGAGGTAACTTCTAGAGAATTATGAAAATTTGAAGAGTGAAAAATTCGCGAAACCAAGGATTCATTAGCAAGGAAATAGATTTCAGGATGATGCTTCTTAATGAACAGAGGGAAGAACGAAGGACGAAGACGGATCAAATGGAATATTCATCAGGTATAATTATTCACTCGCCGAGAAACTTTAGGATAGATCGACCGATTAAGTATAGCTAGCGCATCAACTTCAAGATGTATCATTTGTCCCTGAGGAACACAGGAGATGAAGAGAGAAGAAAGATTTTGAAATCTCTACGTCACAAAAGTCAATTATTCTAAGATTTATAGATTCAATATTTTAATTTTTAAGATTCAGATTCTACACACTTGAGAGACTTAAATCTGAGACTAAAAGAATCCCAAAATTTAATCGTCCTATTATTAAATAATATATAATTAAATAAAATATTAAATAAATAAAATTTACATTTAAATATAAATAAAACATTTATGTTATGTAAGTATAAACAGAATAGATAATTAAAAATTTTTTTAATTAAAAATATCAAGATTTTAAGAAATATCCAATTTATGCTAATCATTTAGCATAAATAAAAATTTAATAAATTCTTTCTAATTCCCATTCTTCAACAAATAAATAATAATGGTCAAAGATTGAAGAATAAATTGATTAATTGATTTCATTATGTCAACGAGAGGAGGAATTCGACGGGGACAAGAGACGAGAATTGATTTCCGGTGACAAGATTTGATCCTAGCGAATGTATACTGTGGCTAAACTGTTCCTAGGACTGTAGGACACGCATGGAAATACGGTTAATTGTAAGTGTCCTGTCGACAGTACCTCGTCAAGATTCAGTCGCCTGAACTAACAAACGAAATGGGACCGGAACGTGTCCTTAATTTTA